GGTTTTTTTTTTAGTTTATGTAAAGTACAGTTTTTTATGGAAGGTACATGAACACTTGGCGCCTTTTTTTTACCTTTTTTTTAAAAAGGTAATTTTGTTTATATATAAACGAGAAAAGGTATATAAAAAGGAGAAGCATAAGTAATGTCGCTTTTTTAGCCTCATAAAAAGTTTATGAAAAGCATACAATTGTTCTAATTACATTTAACATTTCGTATTTGATCGCCTTGAAAATCGGTTACCACGATTCGCCCAGAGGTCTTAATACGATATCCTGTATCTGTGGGGAGAAGATATCATTTTTATTAAGTTTTATTTAAGTTTTATTTTATATGACAAAAGAGGACAATGTTAGACTGTCTAAAGACATGTGCGATGTACCAATACGTGAGAAGGATTAGACAACACATAAATTGCCGCCGCTGCGACGTCGTCCGGATTCAAAACCGGCATTGCTGCCATTGCTTCCGGGGAGAACACGCTGTAAGAAGCCATGAATTCCGTCGCAACCAAACCAGGACTAATGTTCTACATATGACAGAAATAATGTAATTAAAAAGATTAGTTCTTATCTTATAAGCTTCTTGTTCAATTTTAAATACATATATGTATGTATATACTTCTTATCATCAATTGTATAAAAATAATTTTTATTGTATCAAGGAGAGAATTTAAAATGATTTCAATAAAAATACATTGTTTTGAGGAACAGTTACGTTTCATTTATGAAATGTCTTACTGTGACACGTATACGCGTGCCCGCAAGCTCGTGTCGCAAAGTCATGGCCAGGCCGGTGATAGCACGCTTTGATGCCGGATATACGCTAAATCCTGGAACGAAAGGCACTCTCTCGGCAGTCAAACTATTCACGTGAATCACGATGGCATCTTCATCCGCCATCTCGCGCATCATGCGTACAGCCTCGCGTGTGCAGAGACAGAGTCCCAAAACATTCACGTCGAACACGGATCGCCAGTCCTCTAAAGTACCATCTGTAAAACATGTTAGAATTAAACTCGATTATTTTACGTTGTTCTCTACAATGATGCATTTTTATATCTTTTTCTACAATAAAATTGTCTATTTTGTATTTATATCTGATTGAACAGAAGAGTTTAAAGAAAACCTACGAAAATTTCTTCAAAAGTAAAGAAATGTTAACATTGAATTTAGAATTTATGCGGAGCTCTTACAGATCCATATAATAAGATTATATATACTCCGCATAAATTCTTCTGTCCAATTTTAAGATCTTTACCTATGAGCGAAGATTCTTTGGTGATACCAGCGCTGTTAACGAGAACGCTTATTGGTCCAAGATTATCCTTTACCCACGCGAAAGCTACGGCTACGCTTTCCTCTTTAGTGACATCGCATTCCACGGCATGGAGTTTGTCCGAGGAATCTTTCAAACAATCAGCGATTTCCTTAATTTTTTCCACTCTCCTCGCGAAGCCTGCCACTATCATACCTGACATAAAAAAACGATCATACTAATGAGCTCCATATTATATTAATTCAAATGCGGATTTTTTTCACATTACAATAATTCTCTAATAATAAAATTTTGAACGCAATATTTTACAACATTTCAAATAGAACGTCAATATCTTGTTTTCTTTCGAATGTAACAGTAATATTACTTCCCAATTAATGGGCGTTACGATAACAATTATCTCGCGATTCGAGATAAACGTGTGCAATCGTAAAGTCAAATTTTTCGCCGGAGGAATTTTAACATAATATTAATTTATTGTAATTGGAATATTTCTTCACCTTGTTTAACAAGATTTTGTGCGATTGCTGCACCAATTCCGGCGCTGGCACCAGTTACTATGGCCACTTTTCCATTCCATCGCTCCATCCTTCTGCAGTGAGACTTGAAACGCAACTGCGGACCAGAAGCCCTCGATAATGCGATTGCGTTTACAAGCTCTAGTCAACAATATGGAGAAAAAGGAGGATAGACATCCAACAGGTATGAAATTCGATAGTAAAAGAAATTTTTTGTAACTGACCACTGCCTGGCCTTGATCAGATGCAATTACATCTGATTGAATCTCGATCTTACGAAGGAAATAAAAAATCAATAGATTTTTTTTAGAAAAACAGGAGAAGAATTTAATCGGAATAAGTCTAATTTATTTCGTTTATGTTTGCATACTATATTTATTATCTACTATATTAATATATTATTTATAAATTATTTAAGAGCAAAATTTTTATTCAATTTTTTACATTCATCAAGTTAATTAGTTTAATTATACTGTATATTTACCGTTTAATTATATTATACATATTTATTAATTATAATATTAAAATACCAATTAAATTTCTTAAATTCGATCAAAGACCAATTATTGCGCGGTATGCGAGATGCAATTGCTTCTTTGTCATTTTAAACGCATCTCGAGGCCAATGAAGATTAATTATCAATTGAGTTTATAATGAATTATAGCTAACAACTGAATATTTATGAGACCATATGTTCATGTATGTCTGCAATTATCTAATAAACATCGTCGCATAAATTGTGATCGGATTTACTTGGAGCGTTCTCCGTTCCACATACGAACATCATGCATAGTTATGTTAAAAATTCGAATTATACTTATTATAAATCGCAATTAGGTGAAGGTAAATAAATACCGTTCAATTCCGATTTGGCTACAAGTATATTTTGGGCGTGAGGCATCTACATGGATGAGTACTATACAATGCGAGGTATTAATTTTTCTCTCCTAGAGATCTAAATTTTTCTTTATCGCATAACCGTGATATATCTGAAATGATAATGATCGATCGAATGTGTAGAATTTCTAAACATCGGGACTTAGGCAGACAAACTTGGTACAAAGAATTGTGTATATGTTTCTTCCTTTCTATTTTTTTAGGTGTTTAGAAGAGAACGTATCCTCCCTCTTTCTGTCACTTTTAAAAAACGCACCTCTCGCTAACTCAACCGACGAACGAGCTCTAACATGTATAGTCGTATTAAAAGACGAGAAATAAAAAGGGGTGTTCACGCCTTTGCTCTCTCTGTACCGCTTACTACACCGCCAATTGTTCTATTTACAAATCCTATTCCTTTTTACAAATATCTATACGCCTCTTATACGTTGCAAGAAAATATATCACTTCTTCTCGTGTAGAGACACGTACGCTACGTTTACATCACGCTGAGTTCGCGACTGAGTTTACACCTTTTCTAAGCTGGTCATTATTGTTCATCTACCTTACGTGATGCGTATTTATAACGTGACGGATATCGAGAAACAGATGCGGCAAGGAAGAATACAACGAAAGTATAAGTTTCCAAAGTGAAGAGAGACATTTGCTTCGCGCTTAGTACCGGTTCCGATTAACCGGTTGGAAATCGCGATCTCATTGTGTTTCCGCTGTCGCCATGTCTAACTAAATTTATTAATAATACGCGTCTAAATTAAATCTCGCACGAGTCGTAGGAAAACGCATCAGAGGATGCAAATTTTCACAGCGTTTTAGAGATGTTGTCTTACATGTTTCTTTTGTATTATACAGTTACACTATTATATTATATATAATGTATATTTTTTGGGAACATTACATGTACCCTAACGAACGCTCTACGAGCTATTGAGAGATCTTCCTTTTTTTTCCGTATTTGAACTTGTATAAAATAATAACTACAGTATTTACTCGAGACATCGAGATAGTACATTTTTCTATACATTCTACACACAACAGTTTTCGCTAACATCTCACGTACACGCTGTATATAAACAAAATGGATAGAAATCACAGATTAGACTCGATTATGGGCGAGAAAAAAAAGAGAGACAGCAAACGAATAGAGATCTACTTGTCGTTATTTACACTTCATTGTTTTATCGTGACAGAATATCGAGCATATTATAAGACGATAGAAATAATAGATAATATTGGTAATCAAAAGATTCAAAAGTTAGCGAGGATATCGCAATTTGGCATTTACCAACCGCTTACTCCGACTATACACGAGCTAAAATAAATCTTTTATTCTTCCGAATCGCGGACGATCACAATCTCTCTTTCACCTCGTGTCATATTCATATAAAATTGTACCGCCAATTACGAATACTTATTGTATTTAATTGCTTTAAGTGACACGTACACGTATACTCACGTGCACGCACGAATACAAGAATACCATAGCTATCACATCGACGCAGGACTACGTAATAAAAATTTGCGCCGCAAAAATCCAATATTAACGAATTAAGCTAAGAATAAATATTAATTTCTTTTCTTGTGTTTTTAATTATTACGATTTTTCGCAATAACTTCATTCCCGGAAGAGGAAAGAACGTTGGCTAATCTGAAGAGAGAGAGAGAGAGAGAGAGAGAGAGAAATCAAACAAAATTGTTATCTTGCCTATGTCTCACGAATCTTTAAATAAAATACTTTTTGGAAAAGAGATAACATGCTTATACCCAGGGTAGGCAGGCGTAAGGGGCGCAACTATTCTTGTCGTGGATGCTAACGAAGGGAAGCGAGTGTCGTTGCCTGTGTCAGTGTTGACGAGGATAGGGATTCAACTGCGTGTTTTTGTGCACCTGCGGTGTTACATTGCTCGATTGTGATTGCTCCTGTCTATGTTGCTGATAGGGATATCGAATTTGATAGTTTTGTTGCTGCTGCTGATGTTGCTGCTGTTGTTGCTGCTGATGCTGTTGCAACTGTTGTTGGTGCTGACGTTGTTGATGCGGTTGCAGAGTATACTGTTGTTGCGATTGTGACTGCGGTTGCTGCTGCTGTTGCTGCTGGCCCTGTTGTTTTCGTTGTTCCGAACCAGCCGCCACGTAAGAAAATACGCAGAGGACAGCATAGCAGATATCAGATGCCTTCGAATGAAAAGATATTTCACGCCGTTAGGTCATATACATTATTCGTATCTTTTTATTCATTAAAAGCTTTGATGTTAAGAAAACGTCGTTAGAAATTAAAATAAATATCAAATTTTACTAATTTTTATTTAATTTTCATTTTATCTGTATATATAAAACCAGCCTGAAATTATTTGAAACAGTAAATTAAATAGCAAAAATTGTCTTTTGAATATAATTTATAAAAACACAAAATGAAGAAAAGAACTTACGTGAGGTGTAAGAAAGGAAAAAACTTAAAAATAAGTCTCATGCGGTGTCATTTCCGCGCTTATGTTTCTGATGAGTCTCCAACGGGAGTTTATTAAGAGTAAATGCGATAGAAAATATTCTATGCAAGCAGCGAACCGCCTCTTCAGCCTGTCGTACAGTATATAGCTATAGAAATAATAACAAAAATTAAAAGTAATAAAATGTCTATCACTTTTTCTGACTCTTTTTATCTATTCTTGGATAAACACAAACAAAATAAAGCATATAGCCACAACGCTAGATAAAATTTGCGCAAGTCAATTTATTAAATTACACTAAAACATGAAAATTAAACGTTTCGTCACAATTTTTGACCATCATTAGTAATTATATGCCTAATATCCAGGGTTGGGTAGTGCCAAGTTAAAAGCTAAAAGTTAAGTTAAAAAGTTGAAAAGTTAAATAATTTTAACTTAGTTACATTTTAGATTCTTAACTTTTTATTTATATATAAATTTTTTGAAGTTAAGTCTCAGACTCAAACATATACTTCATTTAGAACATACTCTATATTTTATTTAAAAGTTTTGTTTGTATATATTATTTACATTATATATTGATTTCAATCTAGCAAAAATTATCTTTTGCGGGGGGTTGCAGCCCCCCAACCCCAAGGGGGTGCGGGGGGCGCGAGGGGGGAATAAATTCTTAAATGGGAAGGGGGGTCGAGTGGGGGCTCGTTTGAAAGGTCTTTTCGAGACGAATTCAAAACACTATGCATAGAGGGCGCTGCGATCATTTTTCGCAAAAATATTTGAGTTTTAAGATTTCTAATACCATCGGCATTAGCGTTACCCAATGTACACCACGTGGAGGTTGCACGGTTGGATTTTGTACATCTCGTAGCCCTAAAAAGAGGGCTAATTTTATGTATTCGCAGCTTTGAATGATGTTTCCATTAATATTAAGCCAAAACGATTGAAAATCCAGCCAGATCTAACCCCTTGGTGTATACGATATTTTACATACACAATAACACAGGTGTGATAATGAACCATGACCAAGACCAAGATCTATATCTAAGTACATTTGTAACAGTAAGACTAACTTCGAAGTACATCACCAAAACCAAGTCCATGACCAAGACCAATTTCAAAACCAAGAGTAAGTCCAAGAATAAGACCAAGTCCAAGACCAAGGCCAATGTCGCAGTACTTCCATTTGGATGCACATTCATACATGCAGTAGCAATTTCAGTATCGCTTGGAAACAAGGTACTCCGTTGAACATACCTACGTTTACTACTTTTAAGAATTGTTAATTGAAAATTACTTTGAATATTGATTAATGTAGCGATTAGATGTCGAGTAGATAATACGTATTTGGTCCAACATTGGCTGCGTTCATATTGAATTATTCTACGTACTATTTTATCGATTTACTTTTATTAATGTTGTTGATGTTATTTCGTATTATCCGCCATAATGCAATATCTTACTGAAAGAGAAAGAATAACGCTTCTCATGATGAAAGGCTGGGATGATTTAAGGCGATCGTACATGCAAATCAAGGAGCGTTTCAACGAAACATTCAGAAATGGGTTGACTCCTATTTCAAAATCTACCGTCGAACGAACGATTTGGTGGTTCAATGATACTGGCAGCGTGAAAGATTGACCTAAAACGGATAGGCCAATGACAACAACAAATTTTGACAATTCATTGAATGTTTTATTGTCATTCATTGATGATCCGCATAGTTCAACCCGTAAGGTCTCTCAAGAACATGAAATAAGTACAATGTCTGTTCATAAGATATTGAAAAAAAATGGATTTCACCCGTACAAAGTTAACCTTGTTCACGAGCTAAATGAAGACGATTTCGATAGACGCGTTGAATTTTGTGAGTATATGATGTCACGAATCGATGATGACCACAACTTTCTATCGAGAATAGTCTTCTCGGATGAAGCAACATTTCAACTAAATGGGACTCTGAATAGGCATAATTGCAGATATTGGGAAACTACAAATCCTAATTGGATGAGAGACAATAGAACACAATATCCGGAGTAACTGAATGTTTGGGCTGGCATATTAAGAAATAGAATTATAAGACCGTTCTTTATTGATGATAATTTGACTGCTGAAAAATACGAGGACATGCTCCGGAATCAAATTGTTCCCGTAATAAGAGAAATTTCTGGTGAAAACTTTGAACACATATGGTTTCAACAAGATGGAGCTCCGCCCCATTATGGACGAGATGTTCGAGCATATTTAGATGAAGTTTTTGTTGATCAGTGGATAGG